CATTCACGTTGGTATATTTCATGTGAGAATCATAGAGAAATCGTTTGCGTTGTCGATCTAAACAGTTCCTGAATGCGGAACGAATTCATTCAGTGCAATTCGGGAAAGACATTGTAGCCGGTAACAGCCACTTACAATGTTCCAAGCGTCACTTATATACCCATCAGTCCTTAGGGGGGTTGAGTTCATCTTTCGTTGCAATCGCATTGATTTCTATCACCAGTCTACCAACGTCTGCCATGTGTATTTGAGCTGGTGCGTGCACACCCATCAGTCGTGAGCGCATGAGGCTTCTAATCGATGAATCTCCTGTCCATGAGTGTAATATGCTTTATCCCTACTTGCATACGTAAGTAGCGAAATTGATACAGATGCCTTTGTTTTCCTAAAAGTTCAGCTTGAAGTCATACTGCAGTGCAGCTCGAATAGAGTTGGATATGAAGGCCATACAGGCGAGTGCAGGTCCAGTGCTACACTCACGAGAGACATTTGGAAAAGAGAAATCGTCTGAGCACTTATCTGGATAACCTTTAAAACAACTGGTCTCAGAGTTCTCAGAGAATACAATCCTCCCGGAACTGGAAGTGAAGTGGTGATGGGGTTGTTGCTTCCTTGACAGTTTAAGGGTCGAATATCTGTATGATTAGCGATTTAGAAAAACGGTGCCCAGTATCTCAGAGGATTGGCTACTGCGCAAAGCCCCCGTCGCTCATGTTACTGGCTCCTTTTGTAGCTTGGATGTCAATCTTCTAATAGTACTTCTTCATTTTCATGGTTTATGGTCATTATATATAAATATATGTGGGCTTTAAACTCAATCTTTTAGTGCAATATTACCCGTAAACACACCTACCGGTAATACGGCTATCTATTTTGCGCTTCTCCTGATCGAAACGGAGATAATTTGCTTCTTAGTTGCCAATTTTACTGATGAAATCCCAAGCACTGTCATCTAGCCGGATACCCTGTGATCGGAGAACTGCATTATCGGCTTCAGGTCACCAGCTTTTGTCAATAAATCTAGGCTTCTTGAAGCGTGAACTCTGTGGTGGTACGGGTACCAAAACCCCGTGGGGAAAAACATCAAACTGTACTTTTTAAGTGAGCCTGAAGTCGTTATCGAGTCCGTTTGCAACTTGCACTTCCTATTTAATTTGAGAAATATTTTTTCAAAACTAGAACCGCATTTTCTATGACCTTCCAAAATGAATTGACGAAAATCCTTGGGTATTTTGATAGAAATCTGAAACTGGCTTGATTCCGAGTTACTAGGCGTAAAACCTCTCGGATTTATGCCCGTGTNTGAGCGTCACGAAAAATAGGGGAGTGCATACTTGGATGTACTGTTTTCAAGAGGCTTATTTTTGTCGTCATTATCGGTTGATGTAACATTAGGCTTGTTCTCTTTCGTCTGTACAACTTATCTCACTATATATATTGATATTGATCCGACCAATTAAAATCAAGGGCATTTTGAGCACTGCTTGATGTTATCCAGTGTGACGTCATTGATAAGAAAAATTTCACTGCTTCATGATACTTGAAGAAAAAAATAATAAAGTAATTATTCAGTAGGAGATCATGTTCATTAAAAGACGAGCACTTTAAACCAGCCAACGATCAGATGTAACTGCAGATGAGATGACCAAACTAATATGCATCGCAAAAATGATGGATTGCAGTAAAAAGATGAAGTGTAAAGAAATTGACTCTGTCTAGGAAAATAATGTAAAATAGGAATAGGCTTCTACCGTGCCAAAGCAGGACGTGTCTTTGAAAGGCGATCAAATTTCTTTTTGGCGCCAGCTTTTGCAGTTAGAAGCAACATGCATTTAAAAGTTATGCTCAGTAAAAACTAATTGGAGCGCCGTTTATACGACGTAATCTCCCGCGGACAAAAGTAGATCGATAAACGGCGTACAGAGTCACTAAATTCTTCGCCCCTGTTGGTACAGGCAATGCCTCCTCGTCAAACAATAACTTAGCGGGGACCAACACCTTTTATAGAGTCGAATTCAAGTGATGAGTAACTAAGTATTCATTAACACTTCTAAATAGGTAAATAGATTAGGATTCTTGCGAGAGCCCGGATCCATTCTGTCATCTGTAGAGACTGTTCTTCAGTCAGTCAAGCAGGGTCTGCACCAGTATATGGCTGTGGTTATTGACTTCAAGACTTCCGGAAGTGAATATATGGCCAAGTGCCCAGTATAAAAGGCTGTTTCGTTAGGCTGACTTTGGCACTATGAGGAGATCTTGGAGATTCTAATGGGATTTTTTCCATAATTGAAGCCAATCTATGCTGAAAAGCATAGAAGCACTGAGGAGCACAGTAAATTTTAGCACCTAAAGAAAAAAATCAAAAAAGTATCTTGTGTCACAGCCATACAGACCGTTTTCATCCAGTTTTGTGTATAAATACAATGTTTTTCAGAGTAGCAGCTAACAATTCTCTGCGATTCAAAAACAGCTTATCCTTTTGAAAAAGGAACAGTGAGACAGTTCGGTATCCTGGCCGTTATCCTGGAATCACTGCCTTCTTAAGGAAGTTCAAGCATCGATGAAATAGCCGTTTGTGCCCTAACTGAGTCACTGACACAAAGATCCATTAAATAGGGTTTGGACATTGACAGTCGACATTAGTGATCGCAACTAACTGGTTTAATCACGCAATATATGTGGACGGAAGGCGGTATTGCTAGAAGAGTAAGTTAAAGGCGGCTAGTACTAATGTCACAGAACACTGAAAAATAAAAAATCACAGTGAGCGTCTTTGAAAAGGAAGGAAATTGTGAAACGATTGCAAAAATGGAAAAAGAAACTAGATAAGCTTCTGCCAACGATACTCATTTAATCACTCTCATCTATCCTAATGTGTCGCAAAATCTATCGTTTAGCGTGACATTTCTAGGTGATTTTGATGACAATAAAAGTCCATTGGAAAAGGATGTTTTTTACCAAGTCTTGAAATAGTTTTCAAAACGCGGGAACAGCGATTCGGAATGCTGTGGGATATCCATACTAATTGCACTGAGGTTCACTCTCATTGGAATCGCTATATTTTGAAATTAAACTGTAATTTTTACTTACAACCTGTTTCAAGCCGCAGATGGACGATTTCTAAACTCTGAGAGGAAAACACACTTGCACCAACCATAAAGCCCTTTGGTGTATCGTTGAGTGCATTTCAGAAATTCCGTAAAAAAATGAGATCGAGAGAAACTCGGGGCTTGCATCCAGCTGATGAACTCCGGGAAGGTTGAAACCCGCTATTTGCTGTCAAATGGATGTAGCAATTTTACGATTAGTGTTCCTTCATGAAAATATGCTGGATTAACTGGTCCCAGCTGAAATATGAAACCATCTTCATGCAGCACATTCAACAGAAGAATTTCACCAACGGAACAATGTGCCGGGTTTCAGTCGAGTCTCCCGTGGAAACCAAACTGGTTTGCAATCAAGATTTATTTAGTAAGTAAATATGGTATTAAAGAGAAATTCGGACATACAGCAGAGATTTTGCGTTCCCAGATGGAAAGAGCGGCTTCTGTTTTGTTATGAAAGCTAATTTTCACAACGATGACTCCAGGTTCACCATATACATTTTCGTCCTAGTTAGGTTTTGTTTATTGTTTGGTAGTTGATGATTATTTTAGATTGATTATTGACGAATTGGTGCTCGGTATGTTGTGTTTTTTTTTAAAAAAAACCGGTGACTGCCATAGCAAAATTGCTACGTTTTAGATACAGTAGCTGAGTCGATTAATCTTCCGACTATGAGTTTATATGGAACATTTTAAAAGGTTCACTGACTTTTACGCAGGACAATTCCTAGCGTCTTCTGGCAGACCTCATGAGGAGACATCCCGTTCGGGCACCAAGTTCGCTCAGACTTGCTCTACTTTGGTCCAAGGGTGAATAAAATCTGCTTTAAGTACTTGTGATTTTATTACTAGTCAAACAGCAAAGTTTTTCTAATATATTGGGAAATGTTATAGCCCTGCGACGTAAACGATTCACGTCCATACCCTGGCCTGTATTGGCCACAACAAATCCACTCCAAAACCTCCCCAAGCTTGCATACCTTTCATCGAATAGAACCGCAGAATTCACTTTCCACACAACATGTCTTGCTCTTTCATGAATGATGTAATCAATGACAAACTTGCAAAGAACTTCGATCGAGGTTCGGATATCGCGGAACGGAATTACTACAGTAGATTGAGGTGAACCAAAAGGTTCAGACAGTTGGAGGACACCTGTTGCCGACGAAATAATCATAGTTTTCTGAAAAGTTTGGAAACAATGAATCTATCAATTGTTCCCAATCTTTTCCGTCGACCAAAACGTCTTTAAAGGCTTGGTATTTAACGGTTGAAGTAGTACTAGTGTAACGGTGATACTACTGACGGGGAAGGTATCCGAGTAGTATGTTTTCTTGTAAATTCGCTTCGCGTCTCTTGAAAAGAGAGATGTGTTGCGGAATTTGTGGAGTAGCCTTGTAACATTTGCTTGGATTTGAGCAACAGTCGATGAATATCCAGGAAAGTTCAGGAAGACGCGTTCAATTGAAGATGGATGTTCAGTTTTTGTAAATAAGTTGCAAATGAGAGTTTTGCTTTTCTGTCCAGTTAGCTGGTCAGTTAGCATTTTCTAATAAATAAATCCGCAGCAAATGCTTTCTTACTTCCACTAGTATATAAGGAATGACTGATTGACTAATTGGTTAATCAGAACATGGAATAACGTATAGACAAATACGATCGCCTCACAAAACAAGGAACCAGGATCACACCCGATCAATGGCGCGTATATTAGCACCGCTGATGTCATCTGGACCGGTTAGCAAGAGTATGGAGATAAATTGCCGAACCAATCGAACGAACTAACCGCCGAACCGAGCCCATGTTTTTTTTCTACCACGAATAACATACCTTTCGGTCTTTTCCAAAATCGATGGATCACTAACGCACGGGGGCATTTGAAAAAGTCAGACTCAAATGGGGTTAAATGATTTGCTAAATGAAACTCAATACAAAATGAGGATGCATTTACACGTATCTGAAAACAGATGCTAATTTGTACTAAAGGTAAATGATATCTCTTGTGCATGAAAGTGTCATGGCATACGACGTAGGAAATAAAGTTGAACTCATTTAGAATGAAAGACAATGATGGCTCATGGTTTTTGAGCACTGAAAAACAAATGTCCAGCGTTTTTGTGCATTGATTAATTGAATTCAACACCTTTCTTTCAGCAAGCAACTCGTGTAATCCGTTTTTATCGTCATGATCTCACAAAGGTTGGCGAATTAGGTGAGCCTGGTAGAGCCGCCCCAAGGCCACGCCCGCCCCAGATACGAGAGGATGGGCCTATTGGCGAAGATCGTTGGAGCATACAGATACAGGTCATATGAGCCAAAAAGATTGGCCACCAACTGAGGCCATTGGCTGATATGCGGAGATGCCGTTGCGATACCGAAAAATACCAAGGTAACGTAGACCGGATTTCGAAGACCGTCGTGAACTCGCATGGTGAGATTCCGACCCGCTAGAAAGTAAATTCGGAATCGAGAATGTCTGTATTTTGGGAATGAGCTACTCGGGAGGATCTAGCTAGTCAAAAGGAAAGGCTTTAAAACACTGAGTCACGTGCGTCAGGCATATAATAGTCTTTTGGATGAAGTACTCTATAGGTGTGTGGAAAGTTCAATGTCAAACACAACAGTCTGGTACGAGATGCTATAAGCTGAGTTTCGCATGTCCTAGGCGATTGTCCTTAAAAGTCCGTAAGATTAGCTGAAATAATTAGGAAGACGCTTAAATAAAGTTCTTTACTGTATCCAAATTGTCTGATCACAGCACCATATCCACCTACGAAATGCTTGACCTTGAACTTTTCATCTTGCAAATCACATGGTGCCTAATTTTGTCAATACGACGAGAGCCGAGTTTGGCTCAAAGTTTCTCACGAGCATCAAAGCACAGAACCTCCCTCGGCGAGAGCCATCTAGAAGTTCAGAGACTTTGTATGTGACTCTAAAAAATTCCTGTGGTCGACGGGCGGTTCAAGGTATACCTGGTGATGCCTAGCAGGTTATCTTAGATGATGGTTGGGCTCACAACAAGACAGGTGGCCACAAGAAATAACGAAGATAATTCCATCCAGTTTCCGAGTCGATAGCTGATTTTAATCAACAGAATGGTAGAACTTGAACACAATATGTCCACCTCTAACAAAAAACATTTCCAGGAAATTCTACAAAGGTATTATTCATTCCTGAATGTTTTTTTGCCTTGCAATAACTTCCAAAACGCAGCAGATAATCAGGGCGATCGAGGTATGAGAAGAAGAAAAATATATTCCCCATCATTGCTTTTTGTAATCTGCTTGAAAATCATCACTCGAAATAAGTGTCTTTGTTGTACTGGAAGATACATAGTAGTGCAGAAATATTCTAAGCATACAGCATACTGAACCCATATCTACCCTTGCACAACTTTGTGCACATCCAGAACCGTTTACAGAAAACCTCAGAAAAAGAACAGTGACGATCTCTTCTCGTTAAACTAGAGTGCAAACTGTCAAACGTACCCATCTCATCCATCATTTCTTCCCGACTCTGAAATACCGAGGAGTAAAACCAGCGTAGGTGTCTTGGAATATATCCTGCCACTGAAAACGGATATAAAACATAAAGAATAATGTTTAGGAAAGCGATGTTCATTCAGTACTCAAGAAATATAGTCATAACATGCCTAAGGACAGTTGAAAAAACGTTCCACCCAGAACATTTTTCTGCTTCTTGTTTAACTATTTTGCGCCACAATGCGTTGAGTCTGCAGTGTCTTATATGCAAAATAATAAAAACGAATCAGGCTACTTACATCGCTTGTCAGAGGCATGCACTGAATAAGTAGTTAGCGTCGGACGCTATCAAGTGAATCAGATTCACTTTTGGAGTATACAAACCGAAACAGCTAACGTGTGTGCGAACGACAGTGCTGGTGGCAGGGTAAAGAATAAAGGCTGTAGTAAATGGTCACGGAATTCAGTGGTCTAGCCCACGTCAATTGTTTCATACTTAAAGTCTTTGGCCTATCTCAGTCAAAGCTAGGTGATGAAATACTGATGAGCTGGGCCCACCTGATGAGCCAGAACAAAGACAAAACTGACCAAAAACTATTGGAGAGTTACCGGTAACCTTGCGAGTAGTTCAGTTCAAGAAACTATACTGCGAATTTCGTGCCGACTGAAACATGAGGAGGTTTTTGTGCAGCACATTCAGTTGAAGAGTTTCAAAAACCGGTAAATATATTTCAGGTTAATCTGTGCATAATGTTTACATTACCGTCCAATATATATATATATATATATATATGATATATATATATGATGATTACTTCAGTAGTGTTGTATCCAATAAGCTGGCGTAATTTTTATGAACGTTCTGCCAAATGGTAACACATCAATGTCTGAATTTCTGACAAAAGTGATAAAGATCACTACAGTGGTTGAAACAAGTCCTCAGATGACCATTTTCCGCTACCGCTACATAAAACTCCTTATAGCCAATCGTGAAAATCTTTCCTGGTCAGACTCATGACTCACTTTCTTTGCAAACAAAAAACAGTTTACAGCACTTTTACCAGAAGAACTCCTTAGAATCCCGAAGGTTTCCCTTCAAGAACGAAGCATTCACTGATTCTTACTAAAATCCAACCAGGAAACACTTGGAAGTGAGTAACTGTTTCATTCAGCAAACCGCAAATCTGTTTGTATGTCCCACCTTTGACGTGGATTTGATTCCAGTCACCAAGTAGAGCAGAATTCGCCGAGTTCTACACATTTAACCCGAGCAATACATGACATTTAGTCTAGGTTTAACTGCAGTTTATTATTTGCCAATCCGAGGGAGGAAAACAGCATGGTTTCGCTGACCGCCGCATCACAGGATTGTTTGCTGTTCCTTCCCTAGCTAAGCGGGATGAACTGAACGAACTGCTGTTGTGAATGCATTTAATGTTAGACAGAACCCAGAAAAGAGAATAAATCAGAAGAGCATGGTTCGTGGTTCTACTCAAATCCAAAAAAAACCAACTGGTTATTTTTCTACTCGAAATAACTGCAATTAGTCCTGCATGGGGGTCCCTTAATAGTTTGTCCTGTTCGTATAGTGAATGCACAACTTTTTACTGGTTGTGGAACAACCTCTTGTGAGCTTATAGCCCCGTTTACTGCCAACCCTACTAGTATGAAGCAATTTGGAGTTGAGAACAGTCAAGATTCACTAGGTATTCGCGCCAATTTCTAATCTCTTCCGTTTGCAAACAGACGACATTGACCACAGCATTCCGATTAGCCTGGTCTTCAGGTCGGAAAAAAATAAATATCTACCCAAAGTGTATTCAACCCGTGACGCGTCGTATGTTTGGAACAAACACCACAGCGCCGCCCAATCGTCTCCTTTGTGCGCTTCTATTACATGTTTCAATGTCTTCAGTTTCATACATAAAAAAGTACGCATTGGGCCAGTTGGCAACTGTCAGTCTCCGATTCATCTGCTGTTGAAAAACGTAAATTTTTCTATAAAGGAAACTACCTACCATTGCTTGTTACCAAACGTCTGATGACCTAAGAAAAGAACAAACAGTACAGGAAAGAAGGTTTCGGCTTTTGTGGGTTTGTGTTTTTTTCCTCTGGATAAATTTGACTTCCAACCACTGCCGATCGAATGAGGCCCTCTTGCACAGAATATGGTCCCTCTTTTGAAGACTTTCCGCCGGGAGAAGACAATACCAGCTCCATTGCTGGTCTGAAATGTCATAGGATGTTTAGCAAGAATATTTGCGTGGAATTCATACAGTTTAATTTTAACGTTTTGGCCATGCGATTGGAATATTCGTGAATTAATGCCAACACATTGGTCTGTACTGATGAATACTCGTTTGCCAAGTACAGCGTTGTTACCGGTAAACTCAACAAAAGTCCCTGTATGTCCCATTTTTCAATTGAATCTGTTACGTAACATTCGCTTATTATCCCATTTTGGACGGCATTCAATATATCGAAGCGACCTCCGTGAGTCTTTACCAACCCTTTAGGTCTGGATCTGTCATTTGGTCAGTTGAACAAGGTCATTTAAACTTCTCATGCGTGAGATTACTGGGCTGAAATCAGTTCTTGACACCTCCAACTATACAAGAAATTTCACTCATTTCCCTGGTTCCACTTCATTTTGAATTGCCCTTATTTCCCATCCAACCCACAACCCTGTTTTTCATATTGAAGATGAAGCTCTGCCAAGCAAAAATGAAAGGCATTCAAGGCTCCTTTCATAGAACAGCAGGATACAGGCGGTTGCCACAGTGAACAATAGTCACATGATTAGGATAAATGATATTCCTCAAACTGATCAATCATGCATTGTTAAAATGAGGTGAAACCCGGTCTGATGCGAGTGCAGAATGACACTTCTAATGATATTTAGCTAAGTACCTGATATCAAGAATGGTTGTTTATGTTCGTGCTGACTATGTCTGTCCTCCTGAGGAAATAAAGCTGACGCGCAATGATGTTACTCTGGAACTACTCGGTACTTCCTTTTAAATGCTTTCTTGGCGTAGGTTTTTCATCCCGTTGCCTCGCACACATGCAACAGTTAGAGTCATAGATCGGATTACGGATGAACCTCTTAACTTAAGAGGATCTAGTTGTGTTGACGAGGGCGAGTGAATATCAGGCGGCAAACTCACATGAAGTACTCAAATATAAACTTACGGAATTCAGCCATCGAAATTAGGCATGTAAGGCTCCAAATTTGTGGGCGATGTTGACCGAAAGTTTGATCGAATACCACAATTTCCTGCCGAGTGGATGAAAACGTTTCATATGTTAAACAAAATAACAAATGGGAGCGTGGCAACAACAACAAGACCAACATTCATTCTAGCTTCTGTTTCTTGAGAAAAGATTAAAATAACACGGCTGTCATGATGAGAAGCTACTGTTTCCAGTTAAGGTTTGTGTGGCGGAAATAAGAAAACTAAACACTGAAAGTCAGCTGTGAAATGCGGAAAGTTGGATATTCAAAACTCCGAATAACTTGAAGGCCCAAACATCCAGAAGGAAGGTTGACACTGTTCCTTCTGTTAGACTGACTGTAACATTGGCATAGCGAAAGTACTCACAAAGTTCTGAACCGGAAATGACCTACTGCTCTAGCTTCAACCTGGTAAATGAACGCCTAGGACTGTGTCTGTGAAACAAATCATTGGTGATGTAACACATTGGCTGTCGAAATCGAATTCCTAAACCTTAGCTCCTGGACGTACTATTGTCCAGGAGAGTGTGCTCTAAAATAGTGTCTTAGGTTTTTGGGTGAGGCGAAGTATTTTTCTCGTAGTGTCATAAGGCTAATGAGTAAGACAATTGGGAACACAACATCTCATCATCTTGAGTCACATAAGGTATCCTCTTCTTGCATAGTCAGCTGAAGAATAGCAATAAAGGCCAATTCGGTTGAACAGTGGTAAAACACCAGACTAATTTCCAAATCAAAATTAACCTTCACAAAAGTCCAATTTGGTGTGGGAGTTTGAAATATGGTTGACGGGAAATCTGATGAGCCAGGAACGAAGCACTTCTGATTAGGCATACCGAGCCCCGACTTCGTACACGGAAAAACCAAAGGTGGGTAGTTTGATTAGCCCGGTATTGGTCAAGAGACTTGCAAAAATTAACCAATCAGTGACCCTTCCACACTGCTTCTACTCTCTTTTTCACATAGCTTCAATGTTTTACGTGATCGACTAAAACAATAAAAGCAGTGCGAACAATATGCAGCCTACGTCTTTTATCAGTTTGATTAAGTTGGACAGAGTGTTCCCAAATTCAATAGTTCATTGAGGTCCTAGTGTTCTACTGATATCCTAATAAACAAATCGTTAAAATCAGGTGCGTAAAAAATAGAAAATTACTCATGTTTGGTACAAACGTCTACTGTCCAGAATTAATTATGTGTCCACCAGTCAGTCACTTGGTTAATAATCCAAGCAGCTTTTGATGGTCGATAAAACAGCAAGTGGCAGCATTCATAAAATGTCGTAACAGACAGTCTACCGTCGATCGTTTGACACAGCATGAGGATCGTTTCCCCTATCAAGGCGTAATCCCGTAATTATCTTTCTACCGCCAAATACTTTCTTGTTCTCGCCATGTGTTAACATGCTATATGTAGCATGTAGCAAGTCCAGATGGACTTGACCGGCCAGAGGATGAACGCATTTTCTCACGTCTCTGGACAGTTCAGAACAGTAAAGACTAGACAGGACGTTTGTTTTAGCTCTTCAGAATAGTGCCCGTTCAATGTCTTTGGTTTGATATTTGTGTCAGACAAGCAGGCTGAATAGTAAATGATTTCAGTCAGCCTTATTCTCTGTCCAATGAAAGGCATTCGGTGAGGTTAAGCGATGTGTACGGACTTTTCTAGGTCACTAATTGCCTAACGGTCACACCATCAGATCGACAATAACAATGACCGTGGAGCTAATGGCGCACCGCCACCTTATTAATTAGCAACCAGACGGTGTTTGCATGGTGAATGCAATATTGATGTAGTACCACACTGAAATAAGGGACCAGGAAACGTCGAACTCACTTGCTGCCCTTGTTGATCCAGATTTTCCGTGCCTAAGAACGAACTGGCTGAAGTAATCTGATTGCACTTGCCTTTCAGTCTTTCACCAGAAGATTCCAGCTGGATCTGAGAGTCTGGTGACATTTTCAGCAGACAACTATCTCCACCAGTTTCCACAAAGTTGCGAAGGACAGTCGAACTACTCGTACGTTCGTTTTCAATAAATTCGCGGTATCCATGTAAGTCGACCACCAAAGATTTGTCCGACAAGATACCTTTGATACGGTTATCTACTATCATAGAAGTCCAATCCTCCCCATTCGGAGTCTGGCGCTCCTCACCAAGATTATTGCCATGTGACTCCACAAATATCTCGCCAAGTGGGTCAGTAGCAGGTGGTTTGGCATACAGCTTGGGAACTGGGTTCGAGACAAGTATAATTCGCTCTAAACAGCCACTCTCGGATTGATCTGTTTCCTCGCATTCAACAAGATATCTTCCTGTGAGCTCTTGCACTTCGGACTGAAGAGCAGTTACACCAAATTCCCGTTTCATCGATTGCACGTCCTCAGAAGATTCTGAATACCCATGGTCACAAAAGATTTTCGGTAGTTGTGTCTCTTTCTGATGTTGATCTAATCGAAAAGATTTAACCTCCTCTTTGTGATAAACTCGAGGAATATCGGATTGTTTATCCCGCGAGACTGAAACTGGTTCGATTATTCCATCATTGGCATACTCCATCATGGTGTCTGAATTAAAATGTTCCATGGAGCCTTCTGGGACTGCTGTTTGAACCTGAACATGTTCAAAGGATGACAGCGGTACATGATTCAGGGCTGGTTCATGTTCACTCAAATCTATGGAAGTAAATGATAAAGTACTATTGGATCTATTCTCGAGTTCACTCATTGTATCAACAGCAGGATTCATGTTGCCAGTACCCACCTCTGCTGGATTCGAGTAAGCAAGATCCATGGAAGTACTCAGTTTTTTCACCTCATGTTTTTTGTCTTCAGGATTAAACCGACTTTGAACCAAACTGTTGCCAGCTTCTGAATCCAGCCTGTGTTCTTTAGGCGGTTTAGCGTTAGTCCCGTTGCGCAATTCCCAGTCAGTAACAGGATTCTCATACGGTTTGGACTGCTCTGCCAAAGTATATGCGGAAGCCGGGTCGTTTATATTTTGATTTGTCTGCAGATGTGGGATCTCGTCAATCAACTTGGTGGGATAAAATTCAAGGGTCATTAGCGATTGGGGAGGCATCTGTGGTGCAGCGTTTAGAACAAAGTCAGAGGTACCCGATGGCCTAACCGTAATTTGCTTGATTACCGAGTCTGATGAAATTTCGGTTTGAGGACGTGAAGGTACATGAGCACTCTCCAGGTAAACGGATGGATGAGGTTTATCCTTTCCGGCTGCGGAAACTATAAGTATTTTACTGTGTTCTTTAACTGTCGGGGTTGTAGAATCTGCGTCACCACGAAGGATCCCTCTTTTGCTCTCAACAGCCGTACTTACTGGTGGATTTTTGAAAGGCGCATAGCCATCCAAAACTGGAACAATGTTCCTGGAGGCTAACATTTTCGGTTGATACCCCGTCAATGAGGATGGTGTTAGATTCTGTTCCACTTGGGGAGCCATTGTGTCAACAGATTCGACTGAAGTCAGTTCCGAGTTTTCTTCAATTATTGGAGACATCACCCCAGCTCTAATTTCAAAGTCTTCTTCTGAAGACTCTCTTGTGATTTCTTCCTCGTTCTCTTTGATTTGTCTAGAATCTTCATCGAAACTCGGCTTGGCCTGTAGCCCTACATAAGGACTCAGATCGGAATTCAGTGTTGGGCTGGTAGAGGAACGCGCGGTACCGCCTGGTACAGAAATACATCTTAGTGGAAGGTGTGGTAAACTGGCGCTTCTGTGCTCAATGTCGTATTGGTTGGAACTTTCTGAATCATTCCTAGAACGTTCACTGGTAAGCTCGGGTTTACTCTGAGAAGAAGCGGAATTTAAACCGAAATTTTGTTGTCCGCAATCCCCTAATTGCTTTTTCGGGTTGTCGTTGTTGCAGTAACGAAGATCATTCCAACTGTATGGTTTCGTATCCGACGGATTTGGCGTCCGTACCACCTTGACCGCTAGGTGATGACCACGCAAATCTCTCACCGACATCCATCTCTGCGGCTTGATGTTTCTGAAGTCTTCCAGGCTCGGAGAGCGATAGTCGGCTGCAGACGAAGAAATAAATGTATTGTCAGTGTACATTTAATATATACTGATTAGATTGCTAGTAAATGCCGTACGAAAGTTGGCTATACAGGACAATTTTCATCCTGACTGCAAGGACATGAGTACTTCAGGTAGTTGAGTACTACTTCTGCTCACTCCTTTTCGGTGAAACAGACAGTTCAAATAATCAACCGTGCTAAATCGACCGAAGCTGTTTCATCGTAGCCTTTTCTTACACGTGCATTCCTTTGGTAAATAAGTTATCCCACCCAGTCCACCAGCGGGTACCATTGGAACAAACGAGGTAAAAAGAAGTGCAAACCAGCCGCTTTTTTATGGAAAAATCATTTGAGGCAACAGTCAGCAGACTTTAAAAGTCCACGGATGAATTGCCATATGTAATTACTCTTGTGATGGTGCTCCTCATCACTAGAAAGATTCTAGACTCGAGACTTACTCTTATTAGAGCTCAAAGTTAATACATTTCTTTGGGTGTGTTAAGATTCGAAGCTCGTACACCTGAGATGCAAGTCAAGTTATGACTAACATGAGTTCTGTAAGTCACAAGTGATCATCAGATCAGAGCGTCTGTACACATGGTGCCACTTGCTTCTGTGAAATTTGGCATCCTGATTTGCACTTCGCAGACTGAGGCAACAGCAGTGAGAAATCAAGTGTTTTCTCAATCCCAATAAGATGAGATTGAACGAATCTGCCTACGTTGTGCTGTTGACCTCCCCGAATGGCGCACAGTTCGTGCTCAGACATGCGCACTGACAGCTGCCTCGTCGTTCGACCGATGCAGCTATTTCCAAAGGAGCAGAAAAGTTCCTAAACAAACAGTAAATCGGCCTCTTGAGGAACCTAATCGTTTAGCTCTTGTCGGATGGGACAAATTTTTCGGTCGAAAAAGTAACACGTGTTCACTCAGACTTACCTTCCCTCTAAGCAGAAGCTCAAAGATACAGCCAACACCGCTTAGCTTGCTTAGTCAAGCAATTCGGAAGATGTTGGATTTGCTGCATCAAATTCTATCTCAAATTATGAACTACTGAATAAGGACACAGTAGTGTGAGTAAAGATCAATGTTTGGTCTTCAAATTACTGGTGAGCCCACACTAATTTGCTATGTGGTATCCTTCATCAAGAAAAGCCTGATTACGAGTTTCTTCAGTAAAATTTAACAGGAGTCAGAGGAACTCAAACTACTGCTTCACTGTAGACTTCGCTGCAAACTGACATTCAAACATGAATCTAATAGCATGTTTCCTAATCTATTGAATACTGCTCCCCAGACATCAGTTTAGACACCGGGATTTAGCGTTTACGCCTACTTAAGTCACGGACCAAATGTCCTGAAGAAAATTACGCTGGTAGAAAGGAAAAATTGTGACTAAATGTACCGCGTTATATCATTTTTTTCAAAGTAGTGAGCATCACGCCGGTTACCATGTGATTTCATTCCGGAGCTACTTGATGAAATTTTCTGGAATGATAAAACTAGAGACCATTTCCTCGGAAATTAGGTGGTCCACCACCGGAAAGGATGCTGCACTGTTGATAATGCAACAGTAAATTTGAAATCTGACCATACACCCGAATATCCTTGTCAGTTTCGGAGCTACCATGGACAGGATTGGGATTCTGTCTCGAAAGCTGAAAATATTGAATGGAGACTGTGACGGAAGTTTTATTGGTCGGAGGAATAATATGGTGTAAGTCGAGAGGCTTATGACCAAGTTCAGTAATGATCTCAGCGCCGTGAAATCATTTGTGGCGCCAGAGTCGATATGGAAACAGTGATCATGTGCGTTTCGACTCGTTCGTTTTGTTCACATGATCGCTGGTAGACACGTGGTAGGCCATGTGTATCATTTGTGCATGTTTGTATACTTTTGTCGATTTGGACAAGGTAGGGATATTTGTGCGATTATGATGATTATATATAGTGGTATATAGGTAGAAAGCTTGAACAATCTACGAGAGAAAACTCAGAAGGAACCCCATCGTCCGTTTTGCCCTGCTTCGGACTAATCACCTGGACGCAGTGTACGAGTGTCTAGCAAACAATCTATTGGGATAACTCAAATATCATCCCGACTGAAAAATGGGGCGATACATTTAGTAGAAGAAGAACATAAACGAGAATAACTGGTGGAATTCAAGTGAGCCTCCAATGGAAATCAAATACCTATACAAGTGAATGTAATTTTCGAGTAAGTGGCATCTCTGGTAGAGAGTAAAATTACGTGCTTAAAAATGGGGATGGATGGATTAGTCAAATATGGAAGAGTCCTTCGATAACTACCTAAAAAACTTGCAGTTTCTTTAAGAGGAACATTCGTGAAGGTAACCGTACGTCGGATGAACAGACGGTGATCCGGAGGATACCAAAGTATTCAAGGCTGAAGTGTACCAAACAAAACAGCTGGGTCACGTGCACGGACCACAAGGGGAGGTGGAGCGTGCAGCCGTTTTGTATTACGCACCCAAATGGAGGAATGCATCTCAACTTTGTATGTTACATGTCCAATACAACACAATACAACCTCGAGAACACTTCTAGGTCGTCAAGTATCTCAGACTGATGGAAACAAATAAACGACAAAAGACAACGGCTAAATAGAACCATGATTCTTTTGCGTTGTTCCTAAAGATCGATGGGCAAATTAAGTGGTGGTTTGATTCACAATATGTGAACCAAAACATGGAATTTTTCTGTTAACCACAAACAAAATTTTATTCCCAACTTGCACTCTGGATATTAACTACTCATGTCAGTTCAAGGAGATCTAACAGTCGTTTAGATAGTTTGTGAAAACCAAATTGATTCGCAAATGAGTGTATCTTTCGAAAAAAGTCAAATTTGGGTTCAAGTAGAACATAAGGTTGACGGAAACTCGGGGACTGTGCCTACCTGATTAGCCCGAAGAAGGGCGAAACCGGTCGTGGGCTGTTGAAGACTTTTCAGCAACCTTGTGGGTAGTTTCCTTTATTAAAATAACTTATAATAAGTTGAACCGTTTGGAGACAACGTAAGTCGAACGGGTACATGCGGATTAAAAGTCGTTGGGATTCATCCACTTCAGCTTTAGATTTTTTCATTTTGCTCCGTGAATACTGGGTGGCATTTTGTAAGCGTTACTGTTGCCGATAATGCTAGCATTCATCTCCATTCTCATCATTAGCATATCATCGGAAATCTAATACTGAGTGTCGTCGTTTCCGAAAATCGTTCCGCGTGAAATTGTAATACCGCTTAGGATCATACTAGGCCGATCACTCCTAAATTGGCGCCTTTCAGTAGGCTACGTCCTCCTTCTGGAATTTTATGACGTGAGACTAGTAGCCTTTCCTCAACCTATACTGCCTTTAGATCCAAGATACCAGCCAAAGAAGAGTTCATACTTATGGGTTTTCGTCAAACTGGACGTTTCTAGAGGAACGCCCTAGTGGTGAATGCGTCATTTTGCGGTGTCACTTTTTCGCATATGACAACCCTATTATGCACTTGCAAGCAGATGATATTCCAGATAAGCTTAATGAGAACAGCTGAAAGGTGTAGACAGATAGACAGGTGTTTGTTCTGACGGTGTGATCAAATGCTCTCCGATAGTCAAGAAGATAGAAGATAGAAGAAAGATACAAGTCCTGATGGTTTCATTCTAGTGTGCGGGACAAACCTCTGGTGCAAATCCACCGTATAATTCAGTGGATTTCTCGGAATGACCAAGCTTCAAACGTTATTTGCTATCAAAGCTTTGGGAATAAAATCAGAAACGATAAACATATGCTAGGAATCGTGACACGGACGAGGTTTAGACTGAAGCAAATTTACGCCAACATATGTGGTTGACTGAAGCTTTGGTCTCTGTTAAATCTCAGGGTCACCGTAGCAGCAACCCTGTTCTGGTAGACACGGTTGCCACTCGCGAATTGCACTCATCCAGGAACAAATTTGAGTTTAAAGAAAGGATGAACTGAATCTAGACTGATTACCTCGTTTAGGAATGTGCAGCACATAGGCAGTCTCATACTCTAGTTGGTACGATAATCGGGATACATTTTCACTTCGGAACAAGGTTCACATTACTGCTGAAAAATCTCTGACCACCCATGACTGGTTTCACCTATCTTGAGGCTCATCGGGTAAACATAGTTCCTAAAAGTAAGGAGGACATAAACTCGATGATTGCACTCATCTAATAAGTCTCAAGAATAGCGGAACCGTTCATGGGCTTTTGAAGAGTTTTCCACAACCTTATGAGCAACTTGCAACAATGGGCCGCGGCATGCCAAATATCGTACCAACTGAAAAACGAGGCGGCCTGAAACAGCACAATCAGTTGGATAGGAACATAATAAACGGGATATTCAGCTGAGTTCCAGGTGATTTTCCGGTCAAAATCAAACGAGTATGCAGATGAGTTTACAGATCGAGTAAATAAATTTTGTTTATTACATTTACCGGGCGATTGCTCAGCTGTCTGGCAGTCAAACTGACTGTAATTCAGTCGTACGAAGAGACTTCAGCAACCCCAAGAGTAGTTTCCTCAGGGTACT